AAAAAAAAAAAAAGACTGAACTAAACAGCAGAAGACTTTATAGTACAATGATATTTGGTCTATTGTTTCCAGCTACGCTGATTTTTTTTTAAAGATATATGATTTCCCATCGACGACCTGCAGTGAGAGTCAGAATGCCTGCCAGAGATGAGTGCCTCTGAGAAAAAGGGGGTCCTGTTTTCAGGCCCTAATCAAGAAATATGCAAATACGCTCACAAAAAAAAGCAGAGAAATCAGGTTAGCGGGCTAAGAAAAAAAAAAGGATCAACAGGCCGGGCCATCCTTTATTCAGTTGCTATAACAACAGATGTGCTCGTCTATGATGGCGCGGCCAGGAGCTCCAGAGGTATCCTCCCCGATGGAAAAACCTGAATAAAGTTAGGAGATGCATGAGCCCCGGCGCACTTTTGTGTGCCGGTACAGATTGAGGTTGGTTACCTTTGAACCGGCAAAGCTCCACAAGGCCATTCCCAGCTCAGTGCGCGCGAGAGGGGCTTGACTGGGGTTACCGCGCCTTCTGAGGGTCGGAGGAGAGCAGCGTTGGAATATAACTGTTATATATTGGCCGAGGAACAATTTGAAGGGCTCTCCATCTACTTCACATTTTAAAGAATCAGTATTTTGGATGCAGTGTCTTGAACATCATCGTCATTATTATTATTATTATTATTATTATTATTATTATTATTATTATTATTATTATTATTACATGTTTGTGTTTAATAAAACGGTAAAGATTCTAGCTTTAAAATTAAGACTTCCGGTTTTTGAATCCAGGAAAAAAAGGGGGGGGGGAATAAGATAAAGTATGTATTATCCTAATTTTCTTAAAATATTTTATTAAACGCGTTTTATTTTCATATATTACTTTACTTTTGATTAAAACTGGTGCTGGAAAATAAAAATCGATTCAGTGCATTTACATACCGGTACCAAATAATAAAAGCAGTAGAGTCAGTGTTGCAGGAAAGCTCGCTTTCAGGACGTAAGAGCAGCCACACTAATACCAATCAGCCGCACACTGCAAAAAATATCTGCACTCAGTCTCACATGTCTCTGAACAAGGAAAGAGTTCCGCTGGTTTCGTGTGTTTCCTCCAGTTTAAACAGTCGCTTTTCTCTAATGTGCTACAAGTTACAATTGTGGACAGAGTTCATCTATTTGGATGATTTACTTTTGCGAAATAACCACCAATTGAGGCGAGAGAAATTATCTAATCAACTGAAAACTTTTAATTAAAAACAAAAATTAGGCAGTTGAAAGAGTAAAGCCAACCTAGTGTGTCCGTGGCAGTTTTTTGCAGTGCGCTAAGGTCTCTCCAACATGCAACTCAGAGACAGAGAAACTTGCAGCAATCACACAACCTGCAGATCCTCTCAGCTTTGCACCACCCTGTCGTGAAATCAAATACGTCTCGTTTCGACTGAATTTAGGAAATCAGCATCTGCCCCCTCCACCCCATGCACCCCCGGGAACGGCTGTCAAACCGTCTATCCCTCCAAGTAAAAGGAAAAAAAACGATGTAAGAAGACAGATTTATAAAAATAAAAGCTTCATACCTGCGCAAAATAGCCGCTGCTTGTTGTTGGCAGGCCACACAGGAGCCCATTGTAGAAGCTCGCCTTCTGCCTTCTGCAAAGGGCTCCAGACATCACGGCATTTATTTGAGCTCAAACTCTGTCACTGTTGACTTTAGCACAAAGCAAAGATTTCACTGCCCCGCTAGTTAAAAAAAATGATTATTTTACAGAGATATCGATCAGTGTGCTATAAAAAATCAGCTTAGCATTATATGTCTAAAATGAATAGAACGAAATTTAATGTCTGTGTAAATTTACAGAGCTGCGGCGTCCTATTCAAAGTTTACACTTGTGCAATTTGGTTTGTGTGTGTACTCTTCCTATATGTGAGCATAGCCTACACTCTATTGTTTACTGGCTTTGTTTATTCGCAGATCACGCTGTTTAAAGTACGATCTGTAAAGAGGGCCTGGAGAATAAACGCACACTTTAGGCCCTACGTGTTCAGAAGTCGAAGGGGTGTCATTTGGTTATAAGAGGAGCAGAAATGCTCCCAAACTCCCTGGCCTTGGATTTGAGCTCAGGAGGGGACTTGGAGTCATTTGGATGACAACTAGCCTATCTTATCTAACAAGTGGGGAGGGTCCCACTACTTTAAAAATAGGCAGAAGACAATGGTCCCCCAGATTGTGGGGAGAAAAGTTAGAGCATCGCATTGAGCCGGCTCTGTTCCCAAATCAGGCCCCTTTTGCAACTATTCTGCTGCGCCACGGGAGGCTGTTTTATGTGACAATGACACTAATCTTATTCAGTGATCCAAACTTTGCACTGTGCGCGTGCGTGCGCGCGCGCCAGTGTATGTGTGTGTGAGAGAGAGTATGTGTGGGAATTTAATAGCTGGCATAATGCATGCATGTAGGCTGCATATAATCTCACCAACTGCATCTGAAGATTGCGAGATTAAATGGGAACGTGTGCATTTCTGCCTTTGGATCGACTGTGTGGGGTCAATTTTGCTAAAAAAAAAAAAAGTAATTAATTAAAAAAAACAATTTTAATATATATATTTTTAAATTATCCTGCCGCTTTTTTTCTTTCAAACCTCCTTTTACCTCACTTTAGTTTAAAAATATTATATTATAGAATGTGGCGCACTGGCTACATCTCCTTTTTTCATATAAATATTTGAATTTGTGGTTGGGATTAATGAGCATATATGTGTGTTGTTTACATTTCCTGAATGACAAATTGGGAGCATTGTTCCCGGTTTTATCCAGCAAAGCTATTAATCCAAGCTGACTGTGAGCCTTACGTGGGTAAGAATAAATTCCAGAATTTGAATTAAATAAATAAATACATCGTGAGAAACGTATTTTATGATCCCAAAGATGGATGAATGGATTCGTTTTTGTTATGATAATGTAAACCAAAATTGGACTAAATTAATGCCGCCTCAAATTGTATCTTTCTCCTGCAAATTCTCCGTTTGAAGTTCGTTTTTTGGATAAAATCTAATTTTTCCTATAATAATAATAATAATAGTAATAATAATAATAATAATAGTAAGAATGATAGTAATAATAAATGGCCCAACACCGTGACATTCAGAAAACAAAACCAATAACACTTTAATATAGATTCTGTTCTTGTCACTACAAGAATACACATATACAAGCCATAAATAGGAATTACACAAATGATTGAACAAATCCAGCGAGGCATTTCGAGTCATTTACGAGTCCAGTTATGCGGACGCAGGCTATTTTACAGCAAGTTGTTGTTGGTTGTCTTTGGGTCCAGTCCTGAAACCAACTTCTGAGCAGATTTCCGTCACATTATCAGTGTTTTTAATCATTAATATCAGCATCCTCTCAAAATAATTAGGCTACTAACAAACTCGACAACTAAAACTGTGGGAAACGTCAAAAATATCTGAAATACATATTGTACACAAAGTCTATACTTTTTCTTTTACAAATGTACAAAGTGAATGGGAAGAAAGTCCACATTACATGAGGGAATAAAAGAGTTTATGAGGAGTTCATAATTGGTCTGGAATAGACACCTTGGTAGTAAGTTGTGTCAGGTATGGATGAAGAATCCAGACCGGCTTTCCCCGCCATGGAGCCCATGGAAAGAGGTCCCGCCATGGGGGAGCCATAGCCGGAGTAATGCATCACCTGCTCGTAAGTCTTTAAGTCCATTTTGTGATGCTGCTGCTCCGAGGACATGAGGTTATTTATGGAGAAAGGGTGGTTGAAGGAGTAGTGGTGCTCCGGCTTCAGGTGGGCTTCGTGCGCAAGAACCGAGTGATGCTGAGACATGAGGTGCTGCCCCTGCGTCACCGGGCTAGCAGCGGTGTGCTCCGGGCTCAGGGCCTGGCTCGTCTTCATGTCCGACAGGGACCTTTTGTGGTCGCTGGAGGAGGAGTTGGAGAGCGGGGACTCGTTGCCGTTGCAGCTCTCCGAGCTGCTGTTGGAGGAGCCGCCGTCCCCTGACTTGCGGCCCGGTTCCTTCATCTTCTTGTCGCACTTAAAGCGTTTCTGCCTCCTCAGGTAGCAGCCGTTCTCGAACATGTTCCCGGAGTCCGGGTGCAGAGTCCAAAACGAGCCTTTCCCCGGTTTATCCGGCGACCTGGGCACTTTGACGAAACAGTCATTGAAAGACAAAGAGTGGCGAATGGAGTTCTGCCAGCGCTGCTGGTTCTGTCGGTAAAACGGGAAGAGGTCCATTATCCACTGGTAGATCTCGGCTAGTGTCAGCATCTTGCTCGGGGACTGCTGGATGGCCATGGTGATAAGAGAAATGTAGGAGTACGGGGGTTTGGCGTGCGTGTAGCTCCTGCGGTAGGTCTTAGGGTCTCTGGACCTGTTGATGTTAGACTGTCCGTATATCGGGCTCATGGCGTTCATGTTTGAGTACGACGTGAGGGCGTTCATAGACGCGGGCTGTGCGGTCATGGGACTCATGCTGGGGCTCAGGGCTGCGCTCATTGCCGTCATCCCTGCGCCCATGCCGTTCATGGCGCCGGTTCCAGGTGACATGCCGGTCATGGAGGGGCTCATGCCCGTGTTGACGTATGACATATTCATGGAGTTGGCCGTCATGTTGGCAGTGGTGCTCATGCCGGACATGCTCATGTAGGTATTCATAGAGTTCATTCCCAGGCCCGCGTTCATGTTGCCAACCGAGGTGTAACACTGTCAGTGAGGGAAAGAGGCATTCGTGAGTTTCATCTGGCATTGCAGCGAGGAATAAAGCGGCACAGTGATTTCTAAACACGGCGAATCGTTATTATTTGAGCCTGATAAAAATCGCCTTATTCATCTCCATAAATAATACTTTATATTTTAAAGCTTCCCGGTTTCGTAAGTGTGAAGTGGCATTGTAGGCGTTTGCTCTCGCGCGAGGTATTTCCTAAAAATGAAAAACAGGGGTGTGTATATTTAACAATATATTTAACGCCAGTATTACAACAAAACAAATAAATAAATAAAATTGAGGTGACTATTCCTCTTAAAATGTGCAGCCTAGATGAAAATACTACTCGGTGTGCGTGTGTCCACTGAAAAATCTCCCCGAAATCAAACAGCACCCGTGTTTATTGGGTGGAAACCTGACCAACAATAACCCGATTTAGTAGAAACACGTAGAGACGTATGAAATTATAATCCGAGCGAAAAGTTTCTTCCCCTACATGTCAAGCAACTTTGTTAGGATAGTGCGCTGCGTGGAGATGGGGGAGGATTTGGAGGCGCCTCAAGTCAATATTTGATCACAAAGTTAATATTATCTCAGGGCTAATATTGAGTTGTATAAAATGGGATCGGCTTTAGACAGAAAAAAATATATATTTAAGGTACCCACCTCGGGCTCTCCGTAGTAGGTGCTCCAGTCGGTGTGTTCGTGTCCTTCCATTTTAACTGCTCCAAGCATCATGGAGGACTTTTACAAAGCGTCTCCCAGCAGAGGGAAAGCCGAAAGTCTCTCTAATAGCAGGTAACTGGGGACCACTGAGTGTATTTAGGTCGTCGGTCTGTCCCTTCGTCGAAGACTGGAGCATGTGTGTCTTATGGAGCCAGCCGTGAAATGCGTCTGTCAGTGACTGGAGTTCAAATGACGCTCCGTGCTGCTTGTTAACGCTGTGATATAGCTCTGTGCTCTAGGCAAGCCTCCAATCCCTACTTCTACGCCTTGGGCCCTATTTGAATAATCTCCTCGCACCTAGGCGTGAGACTCCTCGAGCATCCCCCCACCCCAATTGTACACCTGCGCTAACTGAAAAGAACAGTTTCATATGAAAAGCTTCATTATAAACTAATCTTATTGTATTTTGGTTGGGGCAGAAAAAGGGGGGGGGAGAACTATAAAAGGAATGTTTGGCGCTCTTCCTTGGTGCGCTTTTCATTACGCACATACTCCAAAGTGCTTATTCCACTTCAGCTGAGCTCAAATCATAATCCATTTTATTGCGTTGCATTCAAGGAATTTATTGCCTAAGCCTACATATAAATTTTGACTATTTTACACCGAGAACACCAAAGAACACGAAAACGTTTAGAAATGAAGTAAAATCTCGTTTCAGCAAAAATCTCTACAGAGATTTAAGGCAGATTAAACCATTAACTGATACAGGATTAAATATTATTCTGCCATAGCTCTGTTGCTATATAAATCAAAGAACACATGTTTATGGCTTACATAAATGATAAGACACAGTTTTAAACCTTTCTGATGTTCACCTGAAGAGGATTTCTCTTTCAGCTTTGCTTAGTCCACAGAAAAAGCAGCGAGATCCGTGTAAATGACCGCAGCATGTTTGATATAATTGGTCATTTTAAACAATATCAAAACTTCCTACAAGCTAAAGTTTACATTTTGTCAGTACTAAAGTCCTTACCTCTTTCCCAACTAATGTAGGTGATATTTGCACAAAGGCACAGTTTAACCTGATTTCTTAACCTGGGAGACCGAATTACTGTTTCTAAATGTTTTAATTAGTGTCGAATACGCCAGGCACAGCTTCAGAGCGCCCTCTCTCGGATGCCGCCTCCGACTGGCTCTACTGTCTGTGGCACGTAAAGTCATCCTTTGAACTCAAACGCCCGTTAAAAAAGAAAGCTGCGTGTTTTTTCTTTAGGTTGACTCAAAAGAAGAGATGAAAAATAACCGAAATCAAGAAAAACACGGAAGTGATGACGTTACAGCCCACATTCTTTTATTTAAATAGGTCGTTTGAGAGTGCGCGTGGGTGTATAGGCAGACAGCTTTTTTGAGTTTGCTTGTTGGGGGACCTTTAAAGCACGAAACTCCTGTTTTTCATCAGACGTGCAGGCCTGTGTGTTGCGGGCCTCTCATTTTCGCAACCCGTACAGTATTTGTATGACACAAACATCAAGGTGAGGCTGCAGAGCGATGCCAGCCACGTGTCAGTAGTTGTACATCTATTTGACTGCATATTTACGCAAGAGCATAACTATCAGTATAGAGCCCCATTAGTAAAGGCGAGTAAACCTGTCGTGTTGACGAGGGACTAACACAGTCTGCTTAACTTGGAAATGAGATCATGAGAAAAAGCTCTGTGTGTTTGAGGATTTGGGATTGCACCGGCGGAGAGGTGGAAATGGAGAAAGCTGGAGATGGTCAAATCTGCGCTCTCCCGGCTCGACTGAGTTAACAACAATAAGTTTTGTGAAATGTTATTTTTGAAAGGGACAGTCGCTGCAAAATCACAAAACGCTTCAAACAAACAGCCATGTAATATTTGTATATAATAGAGCCTTTATAAAGTGTTGAGGGCGGAAGATTAGGCGCGTTGAATATTTTCGGTGTGAGCTCATTATGGAGTAACTGGATTTCAGAGAAGACATTTTTCATAGATGTTAAAATATAATTTTTAAAGAGTTTTACAAATATTCTGACGCATTTCTGTTGCATAAATGTGCTAAAAAAATCTGATCGTGAATGCTTGCATGGCCAGCAGGTATGTTTGTGTGTGTTACGCAACGATGTGGTGACGCTGAATGTGAAAAATGTTGCATATTTTCTTTAAAAAAGTATGAAAAGGGATTCAAAAAGGACCTGGATTGGTTCTGGTACCGCTAAATCCAATTATATATGAGTCAAAAAATATTATTTCATGAAGTGCTTATTATAAAATTACAGAAACAAAAAACCGTGAGCGTTTTAAAAGGGTCCTTGACCTGTGTAACATTATGTTCCTGAACGAGACATGAAGCTAAATCCATGGTTAATCATCAACTTTCCAGAGTCCTCTGACATGAGTGAAGGTCACATTTTGGAAAAACAAAAAACTCGTGCAGGGCTTTATGCAGATGTATTTTCTATTCAGTGTATTTTGTTTTTCTTCATTATTCTTTGGTGTAGTGTTTGCATCCTCACCCCAGAACAATAACTGGCCTTTTCACAAAAAAAATGTTACCTCCTCTCCACAGCAGACACTACATATCACTCTGACTCTATCTCACACGCTGTACAACTGTAACATTTTTATTTATGACCCACTCTGACTGTGTCAGTGGAATGAGGTAGCCAAAGAAATCACACGGTAAATTTAATATATGGTGGCTGACTTCAGTTTTTAGAAATAGAACACAAAAAAAAAACAAGTAAAAAAAAAGTGTCAGCAAAGTAGTGACAAAATGTGGAGAATTTCAGAAATGTGAGCTCCGAAACAAAGTTTAAATGTTCCAGAGAATCAGAACAAGTTCCTCCCGTGGTAGCTTTAATTTGAATTTTAAAAGCCAGAGTAGTTAATCACTGCCTCTTTATGGTTGGTACAGAAAAGATGATTGAATCACCAAAGACTGAAAATCTTGCGTTGCGTTACACTCGGCTTAAATTCAGAAGGTTAATTACACGTGCATGTATATACTTGTAGGCTGGTCTGTTAGTGAATAAAAAATATGCCAAGTATCCATTCTTCTAGCGTAATTATGTAAAACGGGACTAAAAAATAGCCGCAATATAAAATGAAAATCTTTATCCAAAGATTTCAGAGTCTTTGTGTTGTTTCACACTCAAATTAAAGTAATACTGTAATGCATTTTGCTTATGATTGAGGTTCAGACCATGTAAACCTTTGGGTCAAATACAGGCAGTGTGTTCCCTTCTATTTAACCTCTGGTTTATTCCATTGACACCAGCTTTAAATATGCATTTTAATAGTTCACTTCAACACACTGAGCAGGGAATCTAATGGCCTGACGGTCATTGCTGCAATATGTACAAACCGCTGCCGCGTTTCTTGGCAGTTTTTCTGTTCCCAGCTGAAGCTTTCACAATCCGGCGTGCACTGAAAATGAGGCCAGGACTGCATTGACTTGTACTCATGAGATTGAGTCAGAACACAGCTCAGTGTGTTGTTATAAAATTTATATATTTCCAGTGAAAATTTACTTGAGGCACCTGAAGCAGCAGTGTAGCCCTCTTTCTCCTCCAGTTAGATTTGCCACACTCTTGAATAATTAGCCTTTAAAATGATGGGTGTTACATTTCACACATTTGGGTGTTATTCATTTACTCGTTATGATAAGGGAATCCACTAAGTGGTGAAAATAGTAATGACTGAGTTAAAGAGGTGAAAGCAAAGCACACACGTGGCCCCAAAATGACACCAGGAAGTTTTCTTGGGTGCAGGGCAGGGGGATGGAAACGGATAGATCTCTGCTCGGTGAGAGGAAGGTGGAACATTCCTTCAAACACCCAGGAGCTGTTGGCAGTTATGTGCTAGCTTTAGGTTTCGGCTTTCAAAGTAAGGATTTCTTTCTCAACTGAAATTAAAAGCTCTGCTGAAGAATGCACCTTTTTGTGACTTTCTACCCTCCTGAGTACACCGAGCCACACAAAACGGCACAGGGCAAAGGGTTAAGCATGTGATTCATCAAAATAAAATTAATAACAAGAGAGTCTTCCTCTTGGAAAGTGCTGGAAAAAAAATGTTTGCGGCCAACTTGCCTGTGGTGACAGTAAACATTCCAGAGCCGGGCTGGAGTTTGGACCTGCCATTATCTGCCACAGCTGTGACAACGCCTGTTGGCTGCAGGTTTGTGGCTGGCCACACTGTGTTTACCTGGAAATGAATCTGAAAAGCGGCCGGACTGGGAAGGCACACAACCTAGCTAAATAAAAACTGAGAGTGGTCATTGCAACGAGATGCAGTGGGAGGCAGTCCAAAGTTATTGCACTGGCCCCAGTGGGTCAGGGCGCAAACACAGGCGTAAACGCAGCAAGGCTGTCCTCAAACACGCACCTTTTGATATTGAGAGGAATGCAGTGAGGAATGCCATTCGATATGTTTTATGTTGACTGTATCCAAGGCATTGTAGATGCAATACTTTCCTCTTGTCATGTTAAAAAAAGAACCTATGTTTACCTCCGGCCTTCATCTGTCAAACAAGGTGACAGTTTATCTATTGGACCACAGGAGTAGAATGAGGAAAATGAAATCCTGAGAGATGGAAGGATCCAATGCACTGAAATAGAATTTTGAGTGTTAATGTTGCTGCAGTTTATTCTTTTGACAAGTCTGGAAATTAATTTGACCGAGAAAAAAAGCTGCTTTATTTGTAATTAATACATGATTTGCAAAAACCTTCTAGATTATATTTGGTTTTCAGGTTGTGAGAGCAGCAAAATAATACAAACTTACTGCTGTATTAAGTGTTTTTAGTTCTTATAGCCGCACACTTAGTGGGTCATATAAGACTGAGACACACGTGGGCTTAAATTATGTTATTTAAATGAACCCAATTTAATCTCAACTGAAAGAAGTACAGGCTGAACCCTGTAACACCAAGTATGTCTTTTCAGAGCTTTTCAGACTTCTACATCATCAGTGTGATATTTTATTTTTCCCCAACCAAAATAAATTGATCAAATTATTTTAAGAAATAAACTGACAAACAAAAAGTGCCAGATGAACAAAAATATAATATAAATTAAAACTCATATATGCAAATAGATATTGAATTTGTCAGAAGGTTCAATAAAAACGTAATTTTCAAAATAAATTTGAATTTTTTGGCAATTATTTAATTGCTCAGGCTTTACAGGGTTGCTGGATATAAAGCTGCAGGTTAAAGGCTAAAATACTTATTTTGAGGGGGGAGGGGGGGATATATACCCACACTCTGATCAGATGCCACGACTCCTTGTGCTTTCTGAACTTTCTACAGAACGTGGATGGGTTGTGTATTAGAGCCAGAAGATTTAATATCACCAAATCAG